TAACACACAGGGAATATTGTAAACATTACACCATCCAAGCATCGTCACCATGAAACACTATTGTTGTCACGCCGACCTTAGTACCACATCTTAAAGCATCGCGTTGCCTAAATGAGGTCTCACAGAGATGCTGGCTGCTCTAAATCACATTGAAAGGGATTGATAACAGGGATGAAAAAGGACACCGTTTAGGGCTGAATCCACATTGACTGACGGTAGAGTGAGCAGTAGTCGTTCTGAACCTAAAGGATACTCTTGTTATAACGAGTAGGGCAGATCAAATTAAATATTTCTCTCCGCGTGTCTCAGTGGGAGGTGATTGTGGGTTTTTGTCCCCAGATTAGGGCGGGTATAGAGCCGGCTAATCCTGCCCGCTGCTCCATGTGGGAGTGGCAGTGGGGAGTCTTTGCTGCGCAGCCAGCTGTGATCTAATGGGTGTGAGATGGAGCTCTACACACAGGCACGCACACTCACACACACACACACACACACAACAAAGTCTAGATTTGTTTCAGGATTAAAGACATCCCCTCAATGACGGACATAATGCCCCAGGCATTCCCACGGTAACCTCACAAGGTTGCCTGTATTTGAGTGCGCGTGTGTGTGTTAGGCTTTGTTTGCGCCAGTGTGTGTGTGTGTGTGTATGTGTGTGTGACATCATAGCTGTTGTTTTTTGGATGCTGATGATGAGAAATACATTTCGACAAAAGAAGCAGAAAGCGCGCAGGAAGGTGAGTAGACACACAAATCACTCAGTCCCACTGGAGAAGCAGCTGCCCGGGTTGGCAGGCCGTGTCCCTCTCATTATGCCGGCCAGTCACTCGCATCCTGGCTCTCCCTCCCCTGCTGCTGCTGGACAGGTAGCATCTGACACACATTAGCCTGCTATTAATGACTTCTGCTGCGGCCATTATCTCACGTTCAGGGGGCTAAACATCCCCCGGGGGCCGTTTCTGCAGCGACGTGGATTGTGAGTGCCGGAATCATCCAATTTCCCAAAAGTTTTGGCTCACAAGGCACTGTTGTGTCTTCAGGGTCGTCGCCCCCCCTACGCTTCGATCATTCTCTTGGGTCTTCTTTCGTTCCCATTTCGCCCGTGATGGCACCTGGAGGTAAGTCCAGGATATCCGTGAGCGGCACTCTTAAGGAATGTGGGCTGTTGCTGATGGACGTCCTAAGTCGGAGTCATTGTTTAGCCCTGATCCCAAAGGGGATACCGCTGTGATTAACATTAATCCTACAAGTCTCTGCACAAACAACACGAATACCATCTCCAGATACCACCTCTAACAACAACAGCAGGTGTTCATGCCTTCCTCACCATCCAGTTGAGAGTTTGACGTCTTGTCTGTCCATGTTTAGGGTTAAGTGAGGCTGTAGAATAATGTTGCTTATGGTCGTTGTCAATCAGCTGTTTTTCTTACTCTTTGAAATTTGTGATTGCATTTGAATCCGTTAAAAAAACGAGTCATGAGGGAAATTTAGCTTTTAAGTAAAGATGCCATCGTTTCTGTAGTGGTCTGAAATACTCATATTTCTTTGACAGAAGTGTGCTGAATCCCAAACTGCTGATAGCCTGGTGAAACTGTAGCTTTCTGCTTAATTCCATGGTTCGGATTGCAACAAAAATATACAATAGAATAAAAAAATGTCTCTCAGCAAGAATAAATGCAGCATATTTGAACAAAAGTCCTCTCCAAGGAACGCAGTAGGTTTATCTGAGCTTTTTAGAGAGTGAACCAATGCTGCAAACAAAGATGTGACAAACTTCAATCGTCAAGCATTTTCTGAACGTGTCAAATCTGCTGCAACAATTAAATCCCGTATTTTAGCAGACGCCAATAACAGGCTCTGATAAATCAGGGAAAGTTATAGTGGCGAGGAAGATGATTGACTAAAATCCGTGAAAGGGGACTTGAGCATCAACACGGGGACAAAAACCACGTAGCAAACAAAATGGTTTATAAGTAGCAGCAAGAGGATCTCATCTTCTCAACAGATTCAGCAGTGTTTGTTCTGAGATCCGCCGGACGAGGGGAATGAATCTGAGAATCGGTACAAGTGGAGCCGAAGGGAAACACGTCCATATGCATGTGCTCCTCTGTGTCTAGTGCTCTCGTCCCCGTCCTCCAAAATCCATGTCCCAGTGAAACCCCCACGGCGCTGCGAGCGTCTGCGGTGTGACGAAACCTCTCCAGGGCTGCTTTCGTTCTCCATCCCAGCGTAGAGTGCCCCGGGTCAGCGAAAGCCCCCACCAGCAAGAGAGAGGAAAGGAACAGCACACCAGCAGCTCTGCCCTTCACCAGCCCTCCACCCCCCACCCCCCCTACATCTCATTAAGGATAGATGGATGATCAATAGGAGAAGCAGTAGAAGGGGATTAGGATTAGAAATCGATGGCTTTGTTTTGCCGTAGATAAACGCTGCCTTAAGACACTGACAACGCGGCCCACAGACTTTTATGGCTTTTCCCTCGGTGTGAGAGGGGGAGGGGGGCACGAGGAGCAATGAGACGGAGACGGTGTTGATATGCTGCAGATGTTTCACCGTGCATGAAGGTTTCGTGTGGGAGACGGAGCTTCACCATCGCAGATCAGACGCTGACCGGGTCACAGCGAGCCACAGCTTTTCGCCGAGAATAACCGGAGAGGCCGGTGCTGAGGTGGCATCGAAAACAAAAGCCTCTGAAAGGAGAAGTGAATCTCCTAAAACCTGAGTGGGCTGTAAGAAGGGAGGCAAGGCATTCTGGGTAGGTGAGGCCTACACCTCCCACACAGAGATTCAAAAACAGAGAGCACCCCCTGCTTTGATCTCTCTGCTCTCTATCGCCTCTTCTCTGTCTCCTCTGCACACACACACACACAGACACACAGACACACACACACACACACACACACACTCACACACACAGACATAGACACAGACACTTGCCTGTTTGTTGTGGCTTTCGTCCCTCTGTCCTTTGATAGAACAAAGACATTTGAAATGTGTCCTGCAGATGAAAGCTCGCCTCAGATGTACAACATGCTGCCGCTCTGTGTTTTTTCTTACCGTGAAGAAAGGAAGCAAAAAATACAAATGACCGTAAAGTCACAGGTCTAAAGTTCGCATTTGACCAGATTTCCCGAACTCAATGATTTTGTTTTGTTTGCGTGCTTTGATACGGCACTTTTCAAAGTCACAGTTTTGGTGTCAGCAGGCGGCTGAGTGACGAGCACCTTCACATCTTGCGTCTTCGTTCGTCTCATGTGCATAACTCTGGGCTGTGGGAAGAGACCAGAGCAGCCTCAGCTTGGAGGACGTGCCAACACCCAGTTGGACCACTACGATAGCTTGATAAGGGGTTTTTTCCCATTCCGCATTTTATGGTGAATTTTACTGCGCCATTCTTTCATATTTTTTATGGCATACTATTAAATTACTTTTTTTTACTACATATATTGATGAAATATGATACATACTCATATTGATATTGAATAAAAGTATATAGGATAACTTCACATTTATATCTCGTGCTTTATTATTAAATGAACACACCATATATTTTTATAATGTTTTATGTAATACTTTAATGTGGATTTCAAATCTTTTTCATTAAACACTATTACTACTACCATTATCAATGACATTCTCAATAATATTGTTAAATGATTTTCATGGCATGCTATATGTGAATCCCAATCCCAATAAGGTGTATTTGACTTGTGTCCGGGGTGTCACAGGTCTGCAGTGAGGATTCCTGCCCCTCCCTCGCTCCATGGACTTATTTTGTTGTACAATAGAATTAGGTAATTCTTTGATGTAGTAAAATCGTACCTTTTTCCAACATAAAGAAAATATTTTTCTTAAAATTGAATAAAAAACACTCTTTTACCTAATTTGGTCAATGAATACATTTTTCTTAAGTTTTATTTGTTAATTACTCTATTATTTTGGTAAAATATGCAATGTGCTATTCTCTGACTGAAATACTTATACATACTATAATACTATACAACAACAATTCCATGACTTTTTTCTACATTACATGTACATACACTTTTTTGACAATTTATACAATGACAACATTATGACTTTAATCCACATATTATACTATCACTTTTCTTTTGGTAAAATACTTTTATTTTACTTCATTATGACATATTAAGATCCAAAGATTGTTTTGACATACTTTACAACTTTTTTCAACATGATTTATAATGACTAATTTTTGTCAATTTGAATAAAATTAGCTAAAATGAAACACATTAGGATACAACTAACCGTTTTTTACTTTAGTTGATCACCTGCACCATCGGACTGGGAAAAGGAAACCCCGCCTGGTTGAATATCAGTCGGGATATTGAGGAGGCAAGAAAAGGGGCAAAAGGTTCATGTTGGTAGAAGGGCAATCGGTCACGTGGGTGCTGATCCTTGTCCATCACACATTCCATCGTGACCCGACATGGACGACTTGTCCCCCCGAGTGACATCGCAATACTGGCTTACACGCAAAGCGTACAAATGCTCGGTGCAATGCACGTGTGCCTGCACAAGAATGCTATATTATATATAAATACATAGGTATATAAATAGGCAGATGGACAGCTTAGGTCCAAAAGGGCTGCTTTGGTTGAAGACTTATTGTTCTTACTCTATTTTATTTTATTGTAAATTTAGCAGCAAAGCTTCTGCAGATAAATAAAATGTCAACACCGCCATAGCAACCGTGATTTCATATCATTACGTTTGTGAGTGTTTAAATGTCCTGCTGAGGTGCGGCGTGGAAGTAGGACACATTCATTTTTGGTCAACATAACAGGAAGATTTACAAAATACAAAATACTGGCATATGCTTTGTGTAAGTTAATATTACAGTGCAGATAAACATCTCCAAGTAGCTCAGGACTTTGAGATTCTTCACAATGAGTGGCAGCGTTTGGAGCTACACTTTCTTCCTGAGACATTGTAGCGCCATCTAGTGGACTTGTAATGCAAATAATAATTGAGAGAATAAATATGTTGCCCTTTTTTTTACACATAATCCTTGTTTTATTTTACACAGTGATCTGCTACACACACGGTTGCCCACAAACAGGCGGGTTAACTTCAGCAGACTCGAAGAACACGGTCACATGTTACAGCAGTGTTACATGTTACCACAGTCAGGCAGTTTAATTATGTCAATCTTACTGATGCAGTGCAGGGATGGAGGGAGGTACCGGCTGTTACTTTTCCTACCAAACTCTATGAACTATGAGGTTATTTCAGTTTAGCTCAGTTTGTTTAATTTGGTCATTCCTGGTTAATCCAGAAGACTGTTTGCATATTCTCACACAGCCAACATGCTTGTAGCTGGTTCAGACATTCATGGCCTATTTGAACAAATGGAAGTTAGAGCTTTTGAGAATTTTTACAAATAGGCAAGACGGAATGTCTTCCAATCACACGTCAACATGCATGCAAACACATGTGCACACAGAGACTCCAGAGCACGTACAGACTGACAGGCATGTGCTGAAGCTTATCTATCAGTTATAAAAGAGGATTTCTTTTCTGTTCCCTTGATCGCTGTTCATCTTTTGGATATGCATCCTGAAGAGGTATAAATACATGGGATATATACATATATATCGTGTTTTTCAATTATTTGGTATTCACGCACAATAAAATACCCGTTATGTTTATATATTTTAGTCATTTTGATGTGATTAGAAGCTACCAAAATACTAAAAACGGTTATGAGAAGGAGTTTGTCAATAAGGCATTTTGAACACAACCATTCATTGTCAGATCAATGATTCTTAAGTGGACCACCACGCACCACTATACACAGCACATGACACTTTAACTGTGTTTTTAAGTGTTTTCAAACAAGAATTAATGACATAATATCCAGACATATATTTTGTCAGCCACATGTACAGTGATAAGGTGCTAAAATAAAATGTTATACAGCTTTGACATGCAACTAGTGAAAAGTAAATGTGCGAATAAACTCTGTCAAAGACAGAAATCAATAATACATATATCCATATTGCATAGTCCAAGCTGGCACAATGCAGCGTGACTCGTGAACACCAACAACTCCCCCAGCAGGCAGCAGGACTGCAACACATCCGACTTCACATCCCCCCTTCACGGCGTCACACTCTGTTTCTCTGCTTCATATCAGTCGGATCGTTCAGCAATGAATGCTTTATGTTTTATTTCGTAATACGTTAGATATATTTATGCATGTGTGTATACCTAAATGCTGTTAAGTCATTCCTTTAGTCTCTGTTGACAAAGCAAGCTCCCACATCCAGCCTGGGAAACTAGCATTTATTTTCATAGTGTCCTGGCGGCTTTGTTATCAGAACCTCACAGCTTCTGTATAAAGGAACAGCCTCTGACTCCACCCATCACTGCTGTGATCCAAGAATTACTGAGAGCAGAGAGACAAACAAAGAGGGAGAGAAGTGGAAAGAGTAGAAGAAATGCTGAGAGGAGAACAGCAAAATATACAGTTTATTCCCTTTATTTCTCTTCTGTGAATTGTGTTCTGAATAATGAATGAAATGTGCACGTACTGTCTCGCTCTCTCCGTCTGAGCCCCTTCTGGACTCTGAGCTGTAGTGCAGAGGAGAGTACATCCAGCCCCGATCCTCCTGGGTCTGCTGTTATCAAATGCAGGCAGCAGAGAGAACATTGAGAGGAGAGGTGAGGAAACAATAGTATCTCAAGATATTCCCCACATTGTGAATGGTTTGGAGCAGCCCCGTGCAATTAAGCATTTGGGGGGCACCAAGATGCACACAGAGTGTTCAAGGTCACCGTTTGCATTTAAAAGTACAATTCACTAAATCTACAGGGCCTCACTTAAAAGCGATGCTATAATCAGCTTCTTCCCATGATAGACGGGATCATCCAGAAACACAATGTTCTGTCAAAGTCTAACGGGTTTTGGTTATTAAACATATTAAATCTCTTAATTTATATGTTTGGTGTGCCTTTTCCAAATTGAACATTGGTGATGTCCCACAACTCTGTGCATTATTTAGAGTTCACCCAGATTGAATCTCAATCTGATGACATGGAGTTGCTTGCTGATGTTGGTCTTTTGATCAAACCCCACCTACACAGTACCGACGAAGAAGAAGCTTTAAAGTAAAACTTAAACTTTATAAACTAACAGATCATTTCCAGTTTCAGAAAGGAAGATTTGTGATCTTCTAAGCGAATGCAGGCCACCTACGGTTGAGTAACTGCAGGTTACAAACAATTCAAGTACTTTTTACAAAAAAAAGTGCATGCTCCATTCAAATGCATGTAGTGGCCATTCAGAAGCTGGAGTTATTAATATGCGACACCTTTTTTGGGGGGAGATAAATAATGTGAAAAACCATTTAAATACTTTGATCCATAGCAGCTGCTTGCGTCAGTTACCAGCAATGCGAGGGAACGTGGCGCGCGTGTCTCTAGCTACTTTGGTGGTGACTTACATTGTAACTCGAGCTAGAGTTTAGCTTACGACGGCCAAGAACAGGAGAGTACACCCAATATCTGCCATCTGCATACTGATGGATGGATGGACACACACACAGCAAAATAAACACACAAAGGCATATGACGTGTGCACAGGAAAATTGAGGGGAATGAACAAATGATTAAACATTTGGAGGAAGATCAGCGACGATGTGGGGAAAAGAAAAGCAGTTGGAAGGAGGGGAAATAAATTAGGAAATAGAGAATCAACGATACGATGTGGCATTCAAACAAAGACAGACGGGATAATGGAGAGCTGTGCAGGACAGTGACATGATGCCTGAATGCAGCATTTAGATTTAAACATCGTCATGCTGTGCAGGAACGACAAACCTAAAGGTTTTAATCAAAAGCGTGAACTATGACCAGTGGCAGCCTCGTGCTTTGGACGGCGAGGGAAAGCCCGTGGTGCGTGCACGCTGCAACACTCACGCACGCCCTCCTTCCTTCCCCCCTCACCATCATAACTCTACCACGCTGTCCTGACTGGACCACTGCGAGAGACCCGGTGGATCAAAGAGAAACAGGGGAAGGGAAATTCTTTACTCTCTGCAAGAGGACCGTCGACAAAAACAAAACCAAACACCGCTTTCAACAACAGTTCAATGTGCACTGATCAGATAACCCTAACTGCAACTTTGCCTTCATTCTTATTTGCTTTACTACTTGACATTTCATTAACATCATCTGGGGGGAAAAAAGTAAACACTGACACGAGATAATGGGCACTTACAAAGTAGATGTCGGACACGGGCACCTCGCCATCCAGCGAGTTGTGGCTGCTGGACACAGACAGCTGATTGCGCGGTGTTTTCAGCGCCTGCTGAGGCACCTGGGGGCTTGGAGGGTGGGAGGGGGTCGGGGTGGAGGGGAGATGATGGGGGGAAGAGCTCTGGGTGGAGGAGTGAGACGACGCGGGGCGGATGGGAGTGAACGCCGAGCCCGCTGGGACGCCCTGGGGGTTCGGAGGTGGAGCGAGAGGTTCGGACGCAGCCGCTGAAGGAGGGACTGGAGAAGGAAGAGCTGAAGACGGAGCAGCGGCAGGCGAGGCGAGGGGTTTGGTGGATGGACGGATGGATGAAGCCAGCGTGGAGGCCGACTGGCCAGCGGAGGAGGAAGGCCCGAAGGAAGACGGAAGGGTGGAGGAGGAACACGCTGAGGATGGACTGACAGAGGGAAGGGTGGATGAGGCGGTTGCACGGAGCTGGTGATCAGCTGACAGAAGGCTGGGTGGGGTCGTTCCTGTCATCTGTGTGAGCTCAGTGCTCTTTGGGATTTTACTGCATGAAGACAAGGAAGTTCAGGCTCCGTTACACATGCTGCTATGAACGTTGTACTGTGGTGTTGTTTTATCCGCGTGTACCTGAGTTCCACCTCCACTGTAATCGTGTCCTGCTTTTCCTCATGAACCTCGACTACCTCTCTCTGGGCCCTGAAAGTGCACGGGGCAATAAAGGGCAGGGGAACCAGTTAGGAGGAGGAGCAGCTGCACACAGTACACGTTTGTTTATTTCTTACAAAGCATCCTCATTATAGATGCATCGTTACACATTCATTCCATTATTCTCACCTGGCCACACTCGGGGAAAGCATTTGTCTCCTGTAGCGTGGGTGCTCTGGGGTGTCGAAGGGGGTTGTGGGTAAGGAGTTGTTGGAGGAGAGAGTGGTAGCAATAGAAGCTGTGGTGGCGTCTTCAAAGGAAGGAGGAGTGCAGGGCGGCTCTCTCCCTAAAAGAGCAGATTCAGGTGAAAAGATGAACCATGAACTGAATTGATCGGATTAATCGTATAAGTATGTTTACCACAAAAACCTTTAAAACCTTCATTGAAGTTGCCTGCCAACTGATCGTGCAACACCTCAGCCCACTAGACAAGCACCGCACGCAGAGCCGCAGACTCTTTTTGTACTCAGTTGCATTCTGTTTATTTCTTTCCCTTCTTGTGTGCTGATGTGGGTTGCAAGTACTGTATTTATATGTATGTATTCATTACTGTGCATGAGGGCAAAGGGCTGTCGCCACATGTTCAAACAACGTTGCGGTGCCGGGGTTAAACGTGTGGTATCAAGCGTCCCATTCATTTCTACTTAGAAAAATGTCGACCTTTAACGAGCGCTGTGCTGTTCGACATCCTCCTGGACAAGTGAAAGGTTACAAGAAGTGAAGTACCGTTGTCCTCCAGCAAAGGGAAGCTGCGCACTCCTCGTAGGGTCTCCCAGTTGTCCAGGGTTTTCCTGCGTCTCATCGGTCAGCGAGGGACGCTGCCCGGCTGAACCCGTTCCTCCACTGGACTTGGACATCGAAAGAGCCCCCCGTCCTCTCTTGGACGGAGACGACCGCAATGCTGTAAAAGCAGAGGAGAGCGCACATCATGCCAAATAATTATGCCGTATTGGCACTGTCGTCATCGCACTGCAGGGTTATATGGCTCATGCACATTTGTAGACTCACAGCTGCTCTTTTTGAAGACGATGGTGCTGCAGAATTTGTAGAACCTCTCAGCATAGAAACTCGGCCTGTGAACCGACACTGTGTCCTGTGGGACAATAAAATAAAACATTCCATTTTTGCTAAAACGATAACATTAAAGACGCTGTGATAGCATGAAGTTAAAACAAATAGAAAATACGTCATGGTGAGGTTTGCTTTGCTTGGATACAGACTATTACGTTAGAGTTATGTAGAAACTACACACCCCGTCATGGATGAGGGACTTCCAAGAGTGCTCCAGTTTCTTGATCATTCTGTCAGACAACACAATTGAATTATTTAGTTAGACTCATTCTGTGACTATGTGGTTACCTGGCAACTCAGAATCTGAGGCTCCAGCTTTACCCACAATGTTGACTTAAAAAAAAAAAAGGAATTAATGCATTAATGAATTAATGCATTAATGCATTAATTCATTAATGCATTAAAGAAATTAATGCAAGGCACCGCAACACCTGCAGTAAGTAATAATGTTTCTCTGCTCATAATGGTGAACGATAGTGTGTCCTACTCATAAAACTATTGCAATATGTTTAGATTTGTAGTATTACAGACATCACACAAAGAAGTAAGCTATAAACACATTTATGAATTACAGTGGTATAAAGCCAAAGACTTGTGAATGGAGAGTACTACTTAAGGGTGGAATCTTATCTTATGCGTCTCCTCCAGTAGTATTTGATTCAAAACAGCTGTTTTGACTTTGGGATCGCTTCATCTCGTATGATCGCACACTGTCTCTTAACACATAATGCCTGAATTGCTGTCTGCCTAAAAGGAATCATTTCCTGACTTTGAAGCCATTGGAACAGATGTGTCATTCGTTGTGTCCTGAAAAACTCGATGAAATGCAAATGATTAAATGAGCAACTTAACGCAGTACTTTAGGAGGCAGTAGAGGTTCCAGGTGAAAACATCTGACATTGTGGGAAACTCTGAAAGCTTTCTTTGTAGTGGGAAAAAATGTATTATTTTTACCGTTTTGAGGCGTTAAAGACACCTTTTAAATATCACTGCATTTCAAACAGTCGGCATCATGTAGAGTGTATTATTTATTTAAATGGTGCCGCAGAATAATTCGTGAAAAAATGTTCAAAACCACAACAACTTATTTTTGTATTAAGCTACTATTGAATTCATCGACACGCGGTGAAGATGCGCACGTTCACGCCAGCGGAAGTCACTGCTCAGCCTGCTGTCTGTGTTGTTGGAATAAAACTAACCACAATGAAACATCACAACAAGAAACGACTGCCGGCCTTTAAATCCTGATGTTTCTGTGACTACCTGTAGGACTGCAGGATGTCAATGATTCCAACGAAGAGCAGGAGGCGCTCTCCTTTACTACCCACGGCTGGAATACCGCCCATGCTGCAGGCAGACAGCACAACGTTAACATTGTCTGTAAATGTAAAGCGGCGACGAGGGCAAAGAGGGTTCCTCACGTGTCATCATGGTCCAGCGTGTCCCTGCAGGTGGAGCCTCCCTGGATAGACTCCATGGCAGTGGAATACAGAGCTCTCTGAGCTGCGCGCCTCGTTTCGTCCCCTCCTCCTGCAGGAGAACCCTGAGACTGGTTCTCTCGCTTGGCTTGGGTTTTGTTGTGGACCCCGAGCAGCAAACTGTAGTCCATGATCTTGAAACTTTCCAGAACCTGACACGAAACATGCGTGCTTCAAAACCACATATCTTATTGTACAAGCTTCAATTGTTGCTTACTGTTCATCCATCTATCTGCTCTCCTGTTCCTCACCAGACAGTCTCTCTGCAGGGTTTTCACCAGAGCGCTGTATGTGTCCTGGTCCATGGTGAGGCCTTCAGGAACGTCATTCAGAAAGTCCAGGTCTTTGAAAGTGGGCTTGGATTTCTCTCTTTCCTTCTTGGACGCTCGCCTCTTGTACGTGGAGCCCTTCAGATCAAACTTGAGGTGCATGCGCACGGAGCGTGGCAAGATATTGTTCATCACAACCACTCGGATGTTTTTGCCCCCGCACTGGACGCAGTACAGGCCAAAAAACTTTGGCAGCAAAGTGCGGGGGTTCTGGTTCAAGTTCTGGAGAGGAGGTCCACGCCGCGGCCACATGGAAAGAGACGGGAAGAATTCAATCGTGAAGGACTGTGTCATCCTTCCACAAGTTGCAGACAACTGCTGTGTGTCTCCACTCGTTGCATGCTTAACGTATCAGTGCTTTAGCCCAAGTCTCTGTCCCGTACGACCTCTGCCCTCACATCAATCACTAAGTCACCTGCTGGCGTCACTGCTGACCGGGGACAGCAACAGGGGGTGGGATAAAGAGAGTTAAGATGACTGGAAGTCTCAGGCGCTGCTATTAAGCGTTGCCACATGGACGCAAACGTCCCACACACCACAATCGACTCGACACACTGTGTTCAGTAGAACAGATGCGTATGTAACACATGTTGAATTGAATTGTACACACGGCGTGCAATGAATCGTAATAAAAGGGCACGTTAAAAGAAGCGATTCCGCCAAGGGGAGGGGCTCGACCGGACTTACCATGTAGTATCCAGGAAGGAGCTTCTGAAGGAACTCGGCCTCCTTGTGCTGAACCGTTTTGATGATGAACTCGTCATCGCGGGTGACGTAGAATATTGAGCCGCTGGCTCCTGGGTTTGTCAACTCGATCAGCGTTTCGTTACATATGGAGTACTGAAAAGGACGCAAAGAGGGAGGGAACAACGATTTAAATCATAAACTCACGCCTCACAAAACCCCACTCTTAATAAAAAGGGTGTTTCTACATACAACTAACATCACATCAGATGTGATCAATTTCTGTCCTTTTTGAAAATGTCTTTGAAAAGGGTTAGATGTTCCACGAGGAGACCGAGCTTTAACACTTGAGGGCTGCATAGCAGTGTTAACGCTGGATCCAAAAGAGATTTTAAAAAATCAACCAAAAGATTAACGCATCTACCCACTCACATGGCATTTCACCAGCAGCGAAAAGGGAACTTCAAAAGAGCAAGTGTGTTAACGTTAGTGTTCACAAAAAGGCGTGAGTGCTAAGAATTACTCCACGTTACCAGGAGTGCACACTGTACTCTGACTTAGTATGAAGGAGGAAGTTACTCATGGGACTGTGGCAATGTGACTTTCACACACCTCTTGCTCATGCTGAATATCACAGAAGTGTGTCAAACTGAAGCAAACCGCATATGAGGCCACTCAGATATATCATTGTTCAACCTTTAATTAACCCGAAAGCCTTTGGGAACAGTGATGTGAAGCCATTCTGACTTAAAACTAGAGAATAATTACATCAGTGCACAATAAAATGGTTAAAATCTAAGAAAAAATATTTAAAAATATTAAAAATGATAATATTTTTATTTTTATTTTGTTTATAAACAAGGACATTGTAATATAAATGATGTGTGCATATAAATATGTACAGTACCAGTTAATTATAAGACTACGCAGCACCAGCCATCAGAAAAAGTCAATATCTCACCAGGTAGTCATCCGGTCGGATCCCAAACAGCTCTCGGAAGTAGCGGAACGCCACAGGGGCGTAGTTTTTAAACCTGAAGTCCGGATAGTGGTGGGCCGGAGTGAGGTTACTGCCTTCACTGAATGGAGCCAAATGGGGCCGACGGGAAGAGTGAAAGAAGTTAAAAAGGTTCATTACATACTTGCCACGCGCTCGCCCTGACACGAACCCACCTGGGGAAAAAGATGCTTTCCACCACGTAAAAGTCCTGCATCAACACATCTCTCTCCGGCTTGGAGCTGAGGTTGCCTACGGTGTATCCGATGCCCAGCTGGATGGACCCTTGCAAAGCGGAGGAAGTGGTCTGGAGGCGGAAGACACAGAAAAGAACCACAGAGAAGTGTTGCCTTCAGGTGTGGGTGGAACATAGCGGATGAAACTGTGATGATAAAACGTATTAGAGGCAACAGAGAGAAAAGGCAACCTTTTTGTACGTTGTCTCCCCAGAGGCATCTACCCTCCTGTGGCCAATCTTTTTCTCATGGGCTTGGCTGACTCCAAATGGGGATGGCATCTGTTACAAGGAGAGGAAATGGGAATTCAGATGAATACTTGAAACAGGTTGCGCATTTATTGTTTCGATGTGGAAGAAAGGAAAAAGAAGAAGGCTTCAGGCGGAGAGCTGTGTACTTTCTCACCTCGGTTATCTGCACCTTCTTTGCTGAATCTGTGGACACAGACAGAGACGTAGTAGGCAGGATAAATCGTATGAGGGATGTCTACATCAGTACAAAATTAAGCCTAATTAAGCAAATAATAATTTAACCCAAAAAGCCGACTTGCTTTGATAGATTGTTCTGCATCAAGACAAACAGATTGTGTAACAAATATCAGCAAGTGCACAGGAAAGTTTCCTCTTTCAACATATAATATTCCATAGCAAAAGAAAAAAAGCTGGTGTGATTATTTGATCAACATCAAGATCCACATCCCCTCATCTACTCGTTTTATTGTACTGTTCACTTAACAAGGACAATGCAAAATACATTTATGGCAACAGATACAGCTAAAAGATCCTTTGTCAACTTACATACAAATTGAACTTCATTGACCTCGTTCCCAATCAATTGGTGGTCCACTCACCAGAAGAGGAGTTCCGTGCCTACAGGTTACCAATTGTCTTCTATCCCAGCAAGAATTCCTGGCTAAACCCAAACTGGACATTCAGTAGCCAGTGTTTCTATTCCTGGACCGGTGAGATTTGCACCAGCAAGGTAAAATCTCTATTGGATTGACTTCCTCTCTAATCTGTCTTCTGCCATTGGTTCAAATCTCCAGATCGCATTGTCGGCCAATCACAGATGAGGATTAGGGAGATTCTTTCCCCCTCACTTCAAGGACAGGACTGTGCCCTGTATGTACGCGAGTGTGTACAAAAGGCGCAGAGAGAGCCGGAAGCAGAGAAGTGAAGGGGAAAAAGAGAACGTTTTACATCGCCGTGTCAAATATCAGGTCACGTGAGGGTGAAGATTAAGGAAGTGCTGCTCACAGAGCGCGGATAATGAATCTTTAAGCCACGTTGACGTACAGCACCCACAGTTCGCCCGTCACTCAGGCACGAAAGAACACAATGTAGTATCATGTATAATACAGTGATTTGCTCTTTTAGTTCAGTACGTGCAAACAAAATGAAATAACCTTAAAACCGTCAAATCTAAATTATTTTCAAATCCAAACTAACATGCATGTTTTACAAAAGAAGTCGTAATAACAGTATAAAGCATGTTCCTCTGGAGGCATATCTACCGCTGCTGTTTTACAATTGCACCTGCATTAGTAACCTATTTAGAGTACAGGCGCTCTCATAAAAATGCCTGTGGAACCGAAACGGTGCAGTAAATGGGTTCTTCCTTAATCTGTTTCATGCACATCAAGTTATGTGATTGCTTTATTTCTCTCTTTATCTCTCTTACCATATTGATTGCGTACTAAAAACAATGGACTACTCACTATAGTTCACTAAAGCAACCACGTTTCTTTTCGCTGAAAGTAGTATTTGATGTCATTATGAGATATCCAGCATGGCGTCTAGGATGAACTAGATAATTGCAGGCCTGCAGGCAACACGCGCGGCTCCTAACAGCAATGTTTTCAGCTGCATTCTAAGATCGAAAGGCAAACCACACGTGCTGACGCTCAGCAGGTACGATGCAAAGGACGTGGATATCTGTGCCCAATCTCACAACAACCCGTCCTGTTGTTGTTCAGGCGTTTCACTATAATGGGAATGTGTATCTTATTGTGGTGCAAAAGGAAAAGTTCTTCTTGACCGACAACTTCAGAATTCCCCCCGTGGGCTCCATGAATGTCAGTTTTTTTTCTGCACATGGAACAGAATTTAGAAAAGGCCATAGAAGCTGAACTGGACAGAATAACTTAAATCAGTATGAAACTACACAAACGACGAGATCCTCTCATGCATTTCTCTGGTTTCTCCTGAAACCTGTCACGCAGTGGCGGGACACACTCGGCCGGGCCCACCTGTAACCAGCAGATGGACACGGCTCCGAAGCCTATCACGCAGAACAATAAGGAGGAGAATCCCCGGGACCGGCGCACACACAAAGAGTCTCTGCAGGATTAGGGTCAGGCCGGAATAATGTGCCACCGAGCTGCAGACAACAAACAAGACCAGCGCGTTGTAGCATTTCTGATTACTATGTGCCAAACAGGCTACCTGTGAGATAGCTTGGTATGAACGTGTTAAATTCCATTTGCAAAAAAAACTGTTGTGCCAATGTGAAGAAAAAATGCTTTTAGGCCTGTGTGTCATACAGAGGAGTAGATATCTCCCCTATCGGTGGAGGAAGTGGAGGCTTGTTGCAGTGACATTAATGAGACACCAAACAGGAGTGGATCTCTATGCTTCGAGGCTCTCTGCACACAAGCATAATCTGGCGGATTTAATAATAATCATGTGTGCAAAAACATCCAGCGTTACTGCGTACACGTGAGCAGGCACACGAGAAAGCAAAGATGTTGGACCCGATTAACTCATCATGACGTCTCTTTTCGTCCTTCACATTTGCACAGAAATATCCTAAATCTGTCATTAATGTGTCGTATTTGTGGCGACGACGTCCATAACGAAATTGATACCAACGCAGGATTAGTGGGTGGTTTATGATATAATTCTGTTTCAGATTATGCAAGCACTCTTTAGATTTAGCTAGCGAGGGATACGGAATGAATGACGAAGACGGAGGAGCGGACAAGAGGGACACCGTGTGCCGTTGTCATACGAAGGTGTAGCTCCTGCTCCGGCCACACAGCAACAAACAGCTGCACACTCATTCAGGTAGAATGCAACATCCAGGAGCTGGTCTCACGGTCTAATGGGACCGTGTTCAGTGAGACGCCTTTAGGCCGTCTAGCAGAGCAGCAGGGACTCTTGACACTGTTATCCAACCAAAGCAATTTATTATTCATCCCCACATCTCGGTTTCCTCCAACGGCAAATGTCTGCATCTCAAAATAGCTGTAAATAGATGAAACAGTCGAATAAGCCCCCAGTCGGGTGTTTCACTGGGAGGATGCTGATGCTGATGCTGCCCAACTTCAGCCACCAGCGCGCGCGCGCCTCCTCCTCCAGCTCGCTGGACCACCGACACGACGGGGGGCTGTCTGACCGACAACGAGTGACGCTAAATGAGAGACAGTATATACACACATATATATACGAACCGGTGTCCCCCAGGTCGAGCTGGAGACAGGGGCTGGACGCAGCTTCCTCGCTCGTCCTCCCGTCCTCCCCGTTATGCGCGGTCCTCGCGTCCATCGCTCCCGGCGACGTTCCCGACGATTCTTCCTTCCTCACCGAGACGAGGCGGCGTTCGCTTTGAAACGATGTAGGAACACGCTCATTTCTTTTTCAATATTTCCGGTTACAAATTACATAATTTCCACGATACGTCGCCGCGTGTCGGGGAGCGCGGCGACGCGGCGGTGAGCGTCATCGCGCTCACGCGACGACCCGCATCGTGCCCCTCACGCAGACACGGTAACCGTGGTTACGGGATAACATCTGGAAAGGGCTGAGATCGTTTAGTTCAATAGTAAGTTACGGCGTTTCAATTGGGGTCAAGCGCAGGCATTAAATACTCTTCTCGCCTCAACAAAAAAGCAGGAATAATGTTACACCAATAATCACCATAGTTACAAGATGTATGTCACACTTAGAAGTAATTGAGTCCTAGTTGGACCTACTTTTGTCAGAGGGGAAGGTATAACATAAAATAAAATGTTAAATGTGTTTACCGGCAAGATTGATTAGAAAAATATTAAGTTATTAATATCTACTGTGGGTCAAATGTTGTTTACAAGGGAAAAGCTTTTAATTTTGTTTGATACAATTGAGAACATTATAAATCTACATTTCAAACACTCTAAAAATAGATCACAAAGCATTACCAAAGGGGGCGCAGGAGTGAAGCATTTCTGCCATCGCAACATTTTAGTAAACATTCATGACGCCAGCAGGTGAGTCAATTATTTTAATCAACAAATTAATTTCCCTGGCAGCATTTATTTTCCAATTTCATCACATGACAAGTCATGGGCAACAGATACAATGATGGACCCTTCCGCAAGTTAAGTGCAAATAATATCAGTAGTCTCTTTTCAAAAATAATTTAAATAAATGGCATCCTATGTCCTTACATTAAAATGGACATTTGACACATGAAAATACTTCTCACTTAACATTAAGAAAGGACAACAAGGTATTTGTATAGTAAATAGGAATGGCTGAATGTGAAGTAACATGCAAACTAGAGACTCCTCGCATAAGTAATACACGTCCTCCCTCGTGGACTTAGGAGTCCGGCGTGGTTGTGTTCTGGTTAGTTGCACGCTGGGGTCATCAGGCCCGTCCTTCCCAATGCTGGGTTTACAGACAGGCCGTCACTGGTCCAGACACACAGACACACACCAATGCCCGCAATTCCATGGGAGAGGTCAGGAGTCACATAAACACACAGGAGACAGAGTTACATGTACGTGGGCAGGTCCTTCTCCACCACCTGCAAAGAGAAATCGGTAGATATTTTAAATAATTGCAGCACAACGGACAGATTTGTCACAAATCTGAATTGATGATTATGCAAGAAAATGTGTGAATATACTCCTATAAATTGAGACTAAGAACGCGCTCAATGAAAGTAACTATTTGTCTAGTCATATGGAAGCAGGGCATAGCAAAATAAGCAAATACAAATTTCATTTTATGAACTTGTGAAACTGTACACATGACAATAAATATCTGGAATCTTGCACGATCAGGAAGATGCAACTTACGCTGGGATCGTCCGTTGGCCCGTATCTCTTCACCACTTGTCCTTCTTTATTAATCAGAAACTGTTGAGGAACAAGAATTGCATTTTTTTTAACCATATTTCAGGCAGTTGGGCAAACTTTTTGCTGAAGATGCTCCTTAGAAAAGGAGAGTGCAAACATGAGCCAATTACCTTTGTGAAGTTCCATTTGATATTACTGTAGAGAATTAAAAAAACAAAACAATCATATCCGACTCTTCATGGAGGACAAACAAACAAACATCTCACAAGCGTAGAGACTTGAATGTGTTATACGGTATCAAGATAAGTTGATTTATGCTGGCTGTTCAGACGTGGTTTATTGGGGGTTTTGGATTTACAACACAATTTGTTTTGGTAAAAGTAGCACGGGAGAACTGAACGGATTGAAAAGCCGCTTTTAGCAAGAGCTCAAACTTAGTTCTTGTAATCCGACCATGCGAGAATAATCTTTTCAATTTGACGCCACCCAAAGCAAATGAGAAAAACAAGAAAGTAGTGCAATGAAGACATGGAAACTGAACAGGATGTGCATGTTCACATTCCAGGGCAAATGTACACACTTAAACACTATAGTCTTCTGAAAAAGAAAAATATATCTTTAGAAAATGTGTTTGTCTCCAATATGTTCCTATTCTTTAGCTACCATTCACATTTATTTTGATTTCATGTTAATCCCCAATGAATTAGATATTGGAGACCTTTTATATCTTAACAAAAACTGGTTGAAAGCATAGATATTCTCAATCCCATTTGTATCTTTACTACCACCTACATTTCGAGCCTGTTTTTTGCAGTACACTCAAATACAAAAGGTTATTTAAATATTCTGGTTCACTAGTAAATATAGAAAATACAGGAGGTAAGAATTAAATGAGTGAGAAAACTAGGCCGACAACTCACTTTCCAAAGGATCCCTTTCCTTTGGGCTGAGCCTTCATCCACTTCCACAGAGGGTGAGCGTTGTCTCCATTCACCTCGATCTTACTGAAGAGGTCAAACTCTGCATTATAACCTTTGGCAAATTCTTTAATATCGGCATCAGTGCCTGGTTCCTTGATCATACAAAAGAAAACTCAATCAAGTTAGAACGTGTGAAATGTGATGCCGGGGATACAAATCCTTGTCGTCATCAGGTTACCTGTCCTCCAAACTGGTTGCAGGGGAAGCCCATGATGCGTAAACCTTGCTCAGCGTAGGAGGCGTGCATTCCCGCTAGCTGAGTGTAGTTTACTTTGGTCTTTCCTCATTTAGAGGCTACATTCACAATGATGCACACATTCCCTCTGGTGGGGGGAGGAGAAAAAAAAAAGAAAATATGCTTATTCATGAAGTCTAAACATGACGAATGCAAAAGATGTTGCACGGAACACTGCAGTTATTTCAAATAGGCCTTAGCGATGCACAGGACACATCTCACTTGTATTTCTCGAGGGACACCTCGTTGCCGTCGATGTCAGCGGCATTGAACTCGTAGATGGACTTGGCACTCTGCCAGTCGCTCACCTGCGCGCACTGAGGACAGAGGACGTGTGCAGGTGAGATTGTGTGTGTGATAATAATGATTAGGTTATGGTCCCGTCCGGGCTGAAAGTCCGGACAGAAAAACAGACCAAAGGGCAATTTTAAAGGCTTGAGAAATGCACGAGGTGATGGCAGTTAATGACACCATAAAAAAAAAACATTACGTTAGAAGTTCATGTTAAACCGGGTTTATTTCCATTTGAAGCCATTTTACATAAACTGACTGAATGGCATCTTTGTGCCTTCACGTAACCAGAGATAATGGCTACAGCACAGGCGGCTAAAACAGTCACGCAATTCAAATGTGAATGAACACGAGACACGTGGGTGTAAATCAGGCTGAACGCAGCAGCCGAGCAGGTGGAATAGACCTGTATTTAAACGCGCTCGTGAACCTAAAACGCGGGTTTGGACGCCTCGCGGTTGCGTCGCTCACGAGACGCTAGTGGCCGCCGGACCCATTTGCCTGTAACACCACGTTTAAAAATAGAAACGCTAAATCCCACCTACTTGTTGTTCTCCGTCAAACAAGCAGAGGCGGACGATTGGTTTCATTTTCTTTTTTCACGGCACACGACGAGAGACAGACGCACATTATCACGCGCGACGCACTCACCATGCTCCTGTGAAATCCTCCGCTCCCTATCAGCGCCAGCAGCACAGTCGGTCTCCACAGCCTCATGCTGACGGAAGTCATGCCTCCTGTGACGTCATTGCCAACGCCCGCCCACTGACGGGCTCACGGGCCAATCAGAGGAGGCGGTAACTTTGGATGCTGATTACTGGGTAAACAGTTCGCAGAGGTTTCACAACAACACTTAGTTTAATCTCTTCTGTTGAACGCAGTCCAACGTCTGTTTCTTTTTTCTTTTTAAAGAAAGAAAAAAGGTTTTAAGCAACAAGGCAACGAGAGGACGCAATGAAAGAAGGTGTTTCTTCATACAGGATCCCAGGTGTGACTTTCTTGCTCACTCACCCACTCACTCACTGGAAAGCAATCATGTGGATTGTGGACTTTCTTGCTCACTCACCCACCCACTCACTGGAAAGCAATCATGTGGAATTACTTGAGAAAAATGATGAACTTCTTGCTACATGTCGTTTCGCAATAGAAAGAGTCATCAAACGTTGGTCAACAGAGAGAATTTCCACACACTCATTCTGAAATGCTCATGATTCACACTCATCGGATCCAACGTTAGCTTGGCCATACAGATAAAAGTGTGCGCCAAAAGAAGAAGTAGGTTTTAAGTGTTTTTAAATGACTATAAACACATTTCTAGAAATAGTCCTGGTGGACGAAGAGATACTTGAGACCATTTTGAATGGGTTTACTATTTCTTCCAGCAATTAGTTAAGTTTGTTGCTGCATTTTACCTGCAAGTTCATAGTTTAGAATACGTTTAAATGTTTCTATGTAATTCTATAATCCCAGATGGACCTCCCATGCAGAAATGATGTTTATTTTTTTACTTTTTTCTTACTCATCTTCCTCTCTGTCTAAAGGTTAAAAATACCATAAAGTGTCAAACTTTCACAACTATAAAGTCACTGTAGATCTGCTGGAAATCAGATATCAAAGATGTAGTTTTATTCTTCTTCCAGTAGATGGCACTATCTAACTACGGAAAAGACTCATTTCTGTGGGTGCAGCGTGAAAGCAATTTTCTAAGTATCCTTTGAGTTGAGGTTCAGATTTTAGAAAGATGTCTGATGTAGAGACTTGATTCGATGGATCAGGATATTTTCTCTGTGAGAACCATAAGTTAAAGCATCTGGTGGTTCAGATGTGCTACACACAACTTTATTCGAATACACAGTTTTCTCTTTTTCTTTTTGCAGCACATAAATAAAGCCACGGACTAATTCATTTTCTCCTGAGGGGTTGCTTTGAAATCGACTCAAAGGCACCGTGTTACGGCAGACTGGGGCCACATTTAAAGTCCCTGTGAAGTGGCTTTTTCTTTTTTGATTGAAGGTATTGCCTGCTGCAACTGAATATTGGAGTGGGACCTAACACACAAAGGAATCAATCAAAAGTGTACAACCAGCAGGTTATCAGTTGCCACATACTGCTGGGACGAACAAGTATTCGATCATGTGAAAAAAATTATTTAGTTCTTTTGTCCATTGCTAATGTTGTCCATGATTTAAACATTATCGAAAATTAATAAGATGTTAACACAAGACATAAGTAATATTGGACAAAGGGAACTAGAAACATGCATCCTATTATTAATTATTTTTTCAGGAAATTAGACACGGTAGACACCCAACAGCTCAACAGTATTTCACACTTTAAGATGAATATATCAATGTATTCCAACATGAAAGACACAGCAAGAAACCCACGTTTTATTAGGGAATGTCATATATTGCATTTGGTGACCTAATCTGCAATGATATGATAATATGGGAGAAGATGTAAAACACATGGGTTTATTTACTGCCGTTTTACATGCCGTAACGCCCCATAATAGCTGAGACTTACTAAATGTGACTGACGCGGAGCACTGCGCCGTCTGGATCAGGAGGAATGGGATAATTAAAGAAAGGAAGCTGCATGTGAACTCTTTGTTAGTGGCAGCAGTGGGTTGTCTGTCCAACACGCACACGCGCATAATGGCATGCATCCGTGTGGATAGGTAATGCGCAGGTCATGTCTACCGAAGACGAGGCTTTTAATGGGGTTTGACCAAACACAGGAACTGCCACAGGTTTCCACTTGAAACATCCAATTTAAAGCCCCTAATTAAAGACCTCACATGGAGCCAATTAAAACTCAAATTAAAGGGTTCTACCTTAAAAGACAATTGGTGCGGTGTGTGTTTGTGTGTTTTGTGTGTCGTGTGGACGAGTAGGAGGTAGATGCTATAATTACTTGCCTCCACTCTCAAAGCATATGTATAATAAAAAAATACAGTACATAGTTTTCCTGCATTTGTTTTTTCTGCTTTGTTATAAACCCAAGATGAACTGTGCGGAACAACTTTTAATTCTACTACAGCAAGAAACCCTAAAATAATGATGTAGATTGTGTTTTTGTAATTCTCATTCACATGTGTGACACTTTAATTATAATGATGACTATAATAAGGCAGAAGATGTCAAACGCCTTCACAACCCATGAATGTCAGCAACATGTTTCTTAATTGTTCTACCGGCCTGATATCACTAAAACACGATGCGTTTTATTTGTCTGTTTACTTTAACACCCGGGCAGCCGGGTTGTAATTTAATGAACAGCTCCCATCTGAGACCAAGTGAGTAGCAAGCTGACAGCAGTTAAATGTAAAATATGCAAACACCTCTTCGCGCACACTAATGGCACGTGTAAGGAAAAGCAAAAAGAGAACATTTAATATTTACTATTACATATATTGAAAAAAATGCATTTAAACTATGCATGATTTTGTTCCAACCAAACAGAGCTGGTATAGTTGATATGAACGTCTGCATACAGGACAGGAACTCTGCATTTACCTTTTGTAGAACTGAAAACTTGCTGCACATCATGGATGCTGGGACTTGTTCTGAAACTCCACAGAGTTGATTACTTTTTTTTTTACAAAGAGTTGTGCTGGGTCACACACCCGAGAACCAGTTGGCTCAATCTAAATAATGAGAAATTGTATCGGTGGACAAGCAGGGCTATAATGAATAGGAACAGAATGTAAACACAGAAAAGCTAACTGGTTTGATATTAAAAGAAAAAAAAAACAGTTGCCTAGAAACAACCTCTGCTAAACCTGACTCTGCAACCAGCGTCCCCTCCCCCCACAACACATACTGGCGCATACGGAGATAGGCGCACCATGGGAGATAAGATCAGATGTTTCAAGAAAAGTTAGGGTTATTTCTCACTGTTCCTTAGCAACAAGTTGGCTATTTTTGTGCCTTTGCCATGTCTCCGCCGGCCTCGCTGGAGATTTATAGACAATCACCGAAATGAAGATGACCACAGAACTTCAGCAAGTTCTCAAAAACTTTGCTTTGAATTTTAAAGCAGAGTTCAAATTGGCATCACCTATTTATTCATTTATTTTTCTTAACAATACGCTCTGTGACATACTTTCCTCTAATTATGTTGGAGACGCACTTCATTTACATTGCAGAGCACTTGTATAGAGATGCCTTTTTTATATTTACATTGCATTTTTCTGTAGTTTAAAGGCATTTTTCTGTAGTGTTCCTATCCTCCTAATGTCGACGTAATATTTTACCTGCAGCGATGGCAATAAAAGTGCTGCATGAAGTATTCCTCCTTTCATATCCCGGCGTCACGAGGGGCACATTGGTGGTTTTGTGAATAATATCCAGGTGTACACATTACTCACATATCAAAAATTGGATCCAAACTGTGCTTTAAAGAACCACTTATCTGAACTCCTGTACCACATTCTTGCATGTTTTTAGATAATGGAACAAAATGAGTGTAGTGAAAACAGAAGGCAACCTATTTGCATTGGCTGAGAATCTCTCGCATTTAACCCTCACACTGAGAGGCTTGGTTGGCAAGGTAACAGATTCTGCAGTCTGCCTCTGATGACTGCGTCTCAACAGTCCAGATCAGCCGTCCTATCCTCTCGCGCTCCATGTGTTCAAAGCCTCAGTCTGTCTCTGGTGCTGCGAGGCGATTGTCAGATCAAAACACCCCTGCAGCCATACGCATCTCTCAAATCCTCCCCCACGATCAACTCAATACAAATCACTGCCTGACATGCTTGTCACCGTTCCAGCCTTTGAATAAGTCCAATATTTCATCTGAGCTCAGTTAGATTTAAACATTAGGTTTTTAACATTGTTGCGTCCTAAACTGTCATTTAAAAAATCATCACGTAACCGGTGTAATCGCATGTGTAGTTGTCCAATTTTTCAGTTAAACCCGAAGGATTAAGTATTCCTTTATGAGTTGAGAAAATTACTTCTTAAGCTACATAATCCATTTAAAAGCCCTTTGGATTGTCTTGAAAAACATTGTTCACACAAAGAAGACACAAAGTTTCTCTCAGCACTTGAAAAGTTGATGTTTTGGCAGATGCATGGTTATACTACGTTATGATGGCAGATATGTGTGGAAGACCAGTCAGTACAGAGGTTAAAAAATCTGGACTGCATTTAGACTCAGCAATACGATCAAGCATCAGACAAAAAGTTTGAGCTCTGAAAATAGACCTGAACTGCTACTAAAGTAACGGATGTCTGTCTCATTAAATGCATATTATTGTGCAGGGAGCTGGTCTAGAGAGAAGCAGAGACTGGGACTCTAGAATAGGAGGAAAAAAAGTTTTTTGACAAGAATCATGTGGAGAATCTGGATCGAGGTGTAAATGGGATTTAGCATTTTAGCAACAGGATTTGACTCTGAACAGGCGACTATTTAGAAAGTGTTTGCCTTTGTTCTTCACAGTGAACATGAAGCCTGTTTCAAGCGTCACTGAGTTACAATTCAGCTTTTCCTGAGTGTTGATATTAAACGCAAGTGTGTTAGATTTTAGATTTTAGTCAGTTTCAGATTTTGGTCAGTTTCAGATTTTGGTAAGTTTCAGATTTTTGTCAGTTTTCGGCTGTTGCACAATGAAAAAGAGACATTTAACAGTCAAATTACAAATATCTGTCTTTTTAACTTCTTAAAAAAGGCATTCATTTGAGATTTTACTGTTCTGTACTTCATCTGTGATCCTGTGGAGGTTTTCGAACAAATCTTAACAAGATAGTAGTATTACACTGCGATGGAGCAGGTCAAACAAGCTGAGCTTGATTCTCATTATTACCTTTAGCAAAGATGAACAATCTGCAGCAGAATAATTGCTCTCCGCTACATCTTGTCATTAAAAATTGACTTGAACAGCTGCATTATGTTCCCCTGAAGTCGGTAAAAGGAGGATTGTGGCTACTAACAAAGGTTTTTTTTTGTGTGTGAGAAGATACAGTACTACAAGTTCAAAAAGAGAACATGAGTCATGCGCATCAAACAGTGGCAAAAGTGCCTCAGTTAGAAATGTACTTGTTAAGATTGATGTCAATTTAGCACTACTATTAAAAAGAGTGACAGCTTTCCACCTCTGTTCACCCGCCGTCTCGAAGCAAGACTTACACCTGCGGCTGTCTCTGAAAACAGACGTGTCTCTTTCATGTCAGGGTTTCGGGGCAGAGGATGTCGCCTGTGTGCAGACAAAATAAAATGAATCCAGTTGAATTGAATGTCAGCATGTTCGCTTTTCTTTTGTTTCTCTCATTAATGCCACGTCGTCTTTTTCATTTCTTCCGCTTCCCTTCCTCCTCCCCCTTCGCCCTGCCCTTTCTTTTCTCCTCGTGGTCCACACCCTGCTGGGTTTCCGGCCCTTCAAGCAGATGAGTTTCCATCTGATGGTTATTCACTCTCACCTGAGTGCAACAAACTGCTTGATTGGCCTTTGTGCAAAGGAAGTACTTCAGTCCACGTAGGGTCGGAAAATAATCTCAGTAAATAGTGCCTCTTCTCACCTTCCTCGCAAGACCTTTCTACATATTCCAACTGGAATTAACTTGGTAAATATCAAAACGACCCTTGAGACCTTTTCAGCACATAACCACCCGTTCTTTATCATTTTGGGGCTTAGTGGTCCTTAAGCTTCTTTCTGCTGAAAAGGTTTTCTTGGTGCTCACTTTGATAGGGAGTGTAAAGTAGAAAACTTGACAGAAGTATAGTGTTCTTAGTCTTCCCATCTATTGTTACGCAGCAGAAGACGACGCGCAATTACGCAGGATCCTCAGAAACTACTCAAAGGCTGGTTTGGTGTTAAAAAAACATTGAAAAAATGTTTTTTTTGGCTTGTGTTTTTTCCTTTAATTAATCAAAGATAAATCAACCACACATGTTGCACATCTCTTGAGTAAACAGTATCTGTTCCCTCAAACCTTTCATTAAATCATTGTTATCACAAAGAGAGATTCAAAATGTCATGTGTCATGTCATCCTCATACCTTTTTTTTCCGATGATGAACATGTTTCTTTGACTTTACCTTCAGCTTGGACTGAAATGAGGACCGCTGTGGAAGCTATTACACCCATAGAACATGAGACGTGACTAATTTCACACTCCTGAGCCTATGAAGCAGAACCAACTCAGGGAGCTTGTATTTCAATGCTTTAAACGTGACATGATTGAGGGGGATAATTATTGAGTTTCATCACATCAAGCAAATACAAACACACACTTTAACACACAGTGCTTTCACTTCATTGTCCGACTTTGAGGCGTTTGGATTACAGCGCTGATCAAACATTTGAGTTTTTGCACCGGTCTTCTCTTTCACGTCCACAGTTGACGTTGGATAAATGACGAGTGCGGACAGCTCGTTGACAGGTGGAGATGTCAGGTTTGAAATAACCCGGTAGATATAGTATGGTGGATGTAAATGTTCCTCTCATCCCCCCTCAGTTCTAGTTCAGTGGGCTGCACACAGGAATGCCACTTCCTTGTTGCTTTAGCAACAGAGATAAAAAATAAAAAAAAGTCTCCCACTGTTCTTCTCGGGGTTCGACATCCCAATGTTTCCCCTTTTGATTGTGATGTTTGTACCTTGAGGTGTATGTGTGTATCTGTATTTGTGCATGTCAGGTCATGTCTATCTGATTAAGCATCTTGTTTTGTGATTAATACTACGGGAGCAGTGTGGGTGGCTGTTAACATTGAAGTCCATCCTTCATTGGCTCATAGCACTTAACAGCGTTTGCATAACAACAAGAATGACACAGTAACAGGTGCTTTGAATCATATTCCTAAATATCCAAGCTGTCTTATATTCTTTAAAACTGTAATAAGTGTTTTGTATATATTTTGCATTCATATTAAACAACCTGTAGAAAGACAATGGATGTCTATTGAGAGTCAAGTTTGTTGGCACGTGTGTGTAGTTTGTGGGAGTGTTAACAATATAAA